GATCGGAGGGTCCGCAAGTGCAGTTCGCGAGGCAGCAAAGTGTTCAACAGTGCGCTGAGAATTCTGATTAGCGACCCTCGGGCTAGTTCGGGATGGGCGAACGAGGCGGAGCGGACGTACAAACAGGGATCGAGAGCTCGCGGAAGAGAGGGATCGCGACGGAGGAAAGAGACGGGATTCTCGGCAGTGTGCGAGCTTCGCGACAGAGCTTGTGCAGAACGGAGGAAGATTCGCGATCCAGAGCTTGTACGAAGGGAAGTTGCGATCCAGGGATTCACGAGGTAGGAAGGTTCGCGAGGAAATGAAAGGAGCAAGGTTTCGCTGCCAGAAGCGTGATTTCAGGGATTACGCTGCACCTTTCATCGGTGGCCTGAGTAATCAAGGAATTTCCTTTGGTGGAAGCTTTAATTAAAGGAAATAATTAAAGGGAGAAGAAAATTTCCTTTCTGGATGCTTTAATTAAAGGAAATAATTAAAGGGAGAAGAAAATTTCCTTTCTGGATGCTTTAATTAAAGGAAATAATTAAAGCGGAGAAGGAAATTTGCTGGTTCCTTAATTATTTGCTTCAAGCCTTTTAATTAAGGAAATAATTCCTTTGATGGAAGCTTTTTTAATTAGGTTGATTTAAATTAAATTAAGTAAATTTAATTAAGGTTTTCCTTGCTGGAAACAGAGAGGAAATAAAGTGAATATTTATTTCTTTTCTTGGAGGCGGAGAAGAAAATTTTTGCTTTGCTGAAAGATTTTGAAAAAAAAAAGTTCTAAGAATTTTTGCAGAAGAATTTTTTGCAGAAAGTTTTGTTGCAGGATCAATTTTCATTGACATTTTCTGGTGCAAAATTCGAGGTGGTGAAGTTCGACGGAACTGGTAACTTTGGATTATGGCAAACCAGAGTGAAAGATCTGTTGGCGCAACAGAGAATCTTGAAGGCTTTGCGGGCAGCAAAACCAGATGCCATGAAGGATGAAGATTGGGAAGAATTGCAACAGCGAGCGGCAGCGACGATACGACTATGCCTAGCAGATGAGGTACGTGATGAATCTGAAATCTGTTTGTCGCACGAGTAATTGCGGCATGTGCAGTTGTAGTGGAGTTCGCAGGTTTGTCGCACGAGGAGTTGCAGGTGGAATTCGCGGGGTTGTTGCAGGGGAAATTGGGGTTTGTCCTGGAGTTGCGATAGGCGGATTGTTCGCAGGTTTGTCGCAGAAGAAATTGTGACAGGTAGAGTTCAGCTGGTGTCCGCAGTATTTCAGCCGAATTTCTGTGCGAACAGGAAATGTGCTTCGTGTGAAAAAAATTTGATTCAGGAATCACTGAAAAATGCGGGAAATTGCTGCAAATTGTCAGAGAAAATTTCAGGTTTATCTGAATTTATTTGTGGTGTGTGTTTTGTTTCATACAAGGCATGTAAAATTCACTGCAGGATTAAATTCGAATGGTAATGTCTGGTGCAAAATTTGAGATAGTGAAGTTTGACGGAACAAGGAACATCAGATTGTGACAAACAAATGTGAAAGATTTGTTGGCACAAGGAATTTTGAAGACATTATGAGCTATGAAACCTGATGGTATTATCTATAAACTGTTGGGGAGTGCAGTTGTAGGTGGAGTTAACTCTGTCGGATCATATGATGGAAATGCAACAAGTATGTTGACCAAGCCAGGTATTTTCAACAAGTTCTTGAATTGCTTGAACTTGTTGAATGTTAGCAGTTGCTAGTTGGCATGGTTGCCCAACCCACTACGGTGTAAGAAACTTCATGATGCATTTTCTCCTAAGGGGCTGGATATTCGCCAAGGTGGAGAATTGTTAGGTATGACTCA